TGTGTGTGTGTGTGTGTGTTGGTTGGTTTGTTTGTGTGTGGTCGCCGGCCGGTCGGTCGTCCTACCGACCGCCGGTACGGTTCGTTCGTGACGTAGTAAGAGTGTCGTCGTCGTCCTTTCTTTTACTTTCTTTTTCTTTTTNTTCTTTTTCTTTTTTGGCCCAGCGAGGACGGAGCAAAGAAGTGGGGCCGCTGCGTCAGGCAGGTGGGCGGCGGCCCCGCGGCTCATCTCCCACTTCACCCGCGTGCACGTGCTGAAAGGCAACAAAACGGACTTTCATCCGGCGATGGGCCCCGGGCGGGCGTCGGAGACGCTCCAGCGCCTGCGTGACGCCCTCGCGAGGGAGTACGCGGAGGAGTGAGCTGCGACGGGGCAGTTTCAGCCACACATGCGCGTGGGCCCGCTGCCGCGTGGCATCTTCAGTGCGGCTGCGTTCGATGGGCGCCCTGCGGTGGGTGACGGCGCCCTGCAGGCGACTGACGCCCCGGTTGCCGAGGACGACTGTGTTCGGGAAGGCGAGAAACTGTGGGGTGCGGGGAATCCGCTTCGGAGGCCTGTGAAGGTTGAGCGGGAGTGTGGCGCACACGGTGTGGAGGCCGTGCGCTACACAAATGTGTCTCGCCCCTCTTTGATCTTCGAATGGGGGCACGTTTGTGTGGGGTTTCTGGGCCCCAGCGAGTGCCTCTCGCGGTTACGGCGTGCCTCTCGCCTTCCCGAAAAGCTCCAGAAGCCGCGTGCCCCGGACCCACACACACACGCTGGGGGAGGAGGGCCTTTTGCGGGTGCGGCAGAAAAAAGAGGGAGGGGCTCGCGGGGCTGCGGCCGCCAACGGGACGGCGTGCAAGGCGCTGCGTGTTGCGGGCGGGCCCGGCGTCGCGTCCCGGGGGGAGGGGCTTAGCGGTGTGGGCGCCGCCGGAGCCTTCAGGCCGAGGGGGTGGACGCAACGTGCGGGGAGCTGCGCGGGAGCGGCGACCGAAAAACGCTCTGCTCTTGGGCGCCTCCTTCTTTTTTGTTGTTTTGTGAGTTCTCCGAGGGCGGGGGAGGAGTTTGTTTGGCTGCGGTTTGCTGCGGCGGATGCGCATCGCAACACCACCGCCAGCGCAGCGCAGCAGCGGCCCAGTGAGTGAAGGACGAGGTGTATATTTTTCACTGGCTGGGAAAACTGTTTCCGGTGAGTGTTGGTGGGGGGTGCTGTTTGCGTGCGGCGTGCAGGGAGAACACTCCAAGACGCACGCGGCGCGGAGGTGCCGCAATTCCGTGGGTTTGGGCGGCGGCGTTGGGGGGAAGTGAGCAGCGGAGTGCGGCAGCGGACTGCGTTTATACGGAAGTGCTGGAAGGGGCTATTTTTTAAAAAATATATATTTGTGTGTTTGTGTTTGTTTACCTGCGGGCACGAGGCACAGCCGGCGGGCTGCGCTGCTGCGGGGAGAAGGAGGCGCCGTGCCCCGTGGTGCCTCGCGGCAGCCGTACTGTTTTTTAGTTTCACGTTGTGTGTTTCTCCCAAATGCCGTGGCACCGCCAAAGACGTCTGCGTGGGGCGGGGGCGGGATGAATTTCTTTTCGCGCGGCTGCGGGGCGCTGCTGCGTGAACTTCGTGGGCTGCCGCCTTTTTCTTCCTTCCCTTCCCCTGCCCTCACTCTCTGCGCCGCACCCCACCGCGCCTCCCATTTCTCTCTCTGTTTCTTCCTCTTCGCTGCCCCGCAGCCCACTGGCTCTGCTGCGACGCTACTGCCACCACCACCACTGTTTTTACTGATGACGCTGACGGTGCGGCGACGCCGTGCGGTGTGCGCCCTGGCGCTCCTCGCGCTGCTCTGCGGCTGCTGCTGCGCCTCGTTTGTCTGCGGGGCGACGAATGCTGCGGCGTCTAAAAAAGAGGTAAATGTGTCGCTGGAGGTTTCGTGCCCGAACAGTGAAAAGAAGTTAAGTTGGCGGGTGGTTGGTGCGACAAGTTGGACGCAGTGCACAGCCCCACTGGAATCTCCCCGCATTGCGGCAGTTCCTGCGGCTGATGTGGCTGCAGGTGACAGTGACGTCGTCTGCCTCATTGCCGAATCGTTCTACTTCGGCACCGGGTGCGACAAGCCCTGCGCAGGACGCACAACGCCGGGCGATGTTGCTGCGCTTAAGATGCTTTTCGAGACGACGGAAAACGGTGCACTCCACACGAAGTGGAAGGCTGCAAACCCCTCCACTGGCGCCGCGTCCCTTCCTACTGTGGAGGGCGGCCAAAATGGCATTCCTGGGGTTTGCACGCTGCAACCCCCCAGCGCAAGGACAAATGGGGAAGGTGCGTCTGCTGCACAGCCCCAAGAAGTGCCAGCTGCAGGGCGGACACAGCAGCCACGACACACAGCCGACACTGCGGGCCCGGCCATAGGCCCAACAGCCGCCCAACCGAGGGGGACCGGAGAGGCACAGACACCCCCAACTTCTGCGGGAGCTTCCGACGCGTCCGCTGCCGCCCCGGCCGCCACCGCCGCGGAGGGAGCCACGACGACCACCACCCGCAGCCCGAGTGCCGGGAGCCACGCGGACATGAGTGTCGCCATCGCCGCTGCGTGGGTGCGGGCACCTTTGCTGCTGCTGCTACTCGCCTCTGCTGCTGGGTGTTTCTGAGAGGCAAAGCTGGGAAGCAACCGCACGCAGACACGCACACCCTGGCAGGGAAGACGCGTACGCTTTGCGTGCTCATTTTGTTTGTCGTCCCTGTGGGTCAATCCTCGTCTCTCTCCTGTGCTCTGAGGGATGTTTTCTTTTTCTTTTGCTTCGCCACTCCATGCACGTTCCCATGGGCGGCGCACCCTTTTCCCCCTCCTGTTTGCTGCCGCCCCCCCACCACACACACGCGGTGCCGGCCGCATTGCTGTGCGCCGCACGGAGTGCCCAAACGAGGCCCGAGGCCGTTGCCACCGTGAACTGCAAACGTGATGTGTGTGTGGTTGTGTGTGCGACCGGGGCAGTGGTTCCTTTTTTTATTCATGCAGGGATTAAAATATATATGCATCTCTCACGGTCCTCTTGTGCTGCTGGACACGTGAGGTGAAGGAACACCACCTGCCGAAGTAATTTCTTTTTATATATTTTTCTTTTGGGGGTCCTGCGGGGATGACTCACATCTCTTTTCCGTCTCTTCCGTCTCTTCTTCTTTTTTTTTGCGTTCTGGGCGATGCTCACCGCTGCCGTGTGGGCCCCAGCGCCGCTGCCGCCACCGTATGGGGTAGTGCCGTTCTTAAATCCCTCTTATGCCGGTGTGCCGACACCCCTCTGCGTTGCCTTCCTTTTTTCTCTGCTACTTCTCCTCCCACACACGCAGAAGGAAAGAGACCAAACGCTGCTGCTTGCCGCTGTGCGCTTTGAAGGCTCCGCAGTCGCACACACACGCAACCGTCGTTGTCTGGGCAGATCCGCCACGGAGAGGGAGAGCGACAACGACCCAGCATGCCCCGGCGTCTGTTCTCTTCCGCGGCGCTACTGCCGCTTCTTATTTGCGTGCTGTTGATGTGCGGCAGTGGCGCTGAGGCCAACGCGAATGAGGGGGGCACGCCGAAAACGGTTGTTCTCTTTGCCGCAGGAGTGACGGAACTGGCCGATCCGGCGTCTCCCAGTAAAAAGCAGAAGTTTGAGTCGTTCTCTGCGCCTTCTCTGGTTTACGTGGATGGCGTGGTTGTGGCCTTTGCCGAGGCGCACTACACAAATTCCACGGAAAAAAGCCGTACGTCGGCGTTGCCGCGAGGTGGAAGAAGGCCGACGCAGCGTCGTGGGCGGAGGGGAGCGCCGTAGTGGCGGATCATTACGACGCGAAGGTCTACCGCCTGCTG